TGATGGCCCTCACGCGAACGCATGTACGGCAACGATTCTAAACGGAACAGAATGGAACGAATTCCAACGGTAAATGAACGGCATTTGAGAAGGGAACGGAACGGAACGAAATTGGAAACGTTTTTTGACTCCTACTGTAGATAGGAGATAGGATAATGGAAAACCCAAAAGTGTCACACAAAAATTCATGACATAAACAAATTGGAAAGCCTGCTGTGATGTTACTGTTTAGGCAATACAGGACTTGATACTAGGTCCTCAAGACTTATATGTAAAAACACTAGAAAGCGATAATTTGGTGAGAAAGGTCTTAGGTTTTGTTCCCTACTGCAGGTTAGGTCACACCTTAAAACGCTTGGCAATAAACAAATACTGCATAGGACAGAAAACCTTTGATATGTGCTCCCAATGGTTTGCTCAACCAAAACAAAAATGGTTTGTTACGTTCATTCAACGTACCTCTCTGTGTGTCTCCAGGATGTCTTTCCTACGCTGCTCCTTATGTCCTGAAGGAGTGTGCACAAGACATGACAAAACAAGTGATACTGAAGAATATGTGGACAGCTGTTTCGGGCTTCTGAAGTAATAATTAAGCTTGGTTGACGTTACTAAGCAACCACCCTGTACGAAGCTCTATATTATACCGACTACAAATATTTTTTACAAACAGTTATCTGCCTAGAATGAATGAAAGGCATCTTTGGTGAGTGAACACGAGCACTCCATGAACCACTCTACATGATGTTATCGCATATGTGCATTGTTATATAAGTGTGACTGTGTTGTCATCAGATGCATGGAAAATCGCACAATCTGTGAAGTAATTTGAGGCAGGAAACAAGATAGGAATTTCATACAGAGGTGCAAATAGAAAAAGATGAGAAAAAAATGGCGTTGGCCGGGAATCGAACCCGGATCTGCTGCTTAGAAAGCAACAATGCTCACCCCAACGCTTTTCAATAGAGTATGAGAGGGAGGGTAGAAGCGAGGAAACATCTTGGGGCTCATCACATAACAATAAAAATCCAACCAAATTGAAAGACCTTGAAAAGAACACTTTCCATTAGTACATTTAGAAGGCATTGGCTTTAGTGAGTATACACATCACAAACTATGTCTGTAGGCTTCCTAGTGGCACTGTCAGAGCACAATATGCACGACAGAAAATATAGATCTTGTAAACCAATGGGAGCATACATAACACTAAGCCACTGCTGATGAAACCACAAATAACACATATGTACGTAAGCTAAAGCACACATAGTACATAGAAAATAGAATATGGTATGCGTGCATAAAATTTGAACTCACCATGGCAAACAGCTTGCACCAGCCTCAGTAACGATATATGTCGTCAGGTCTCAAAAACCAGCAGAAACTGCAGAGTGTATCGCAGAATATCGACATCAAACTTATGACATGAAGATATCATTTATCAATTATGTAGAAGCACAAGGACCCCACAACCACTTCCCATCCTTCCCCTCCCATTCCTACAACCACCACCAGCACTAACACCACTACAACTAGAAGTGGTTTTCCGGGTGGTTGTTTGAATTATTAGAATAGTTCTGAAGGTGTTGTGTTTTTTCTTCATTGGTTGACACAAAATGTACAGTTGAAAACTGTTTAGGAAGAAACCTGCATTCCTAAAGTACGTACATTCACTATAAAAATGCACCTTGAATAACATCCGCTTATATTTGAGCCCTGCCTACAGAGTAGCCCAGGTGCATGTAGCTCAGTTACAGAGAACAGAATGTGGTGGGTTCCAGTCCTACAAAGGGTGGCTCTATATTCTTTGTTGTCGAAGGTGTTGTTGAATTGCTTACCAGATGATAGAACACCACCAGTACATTCTGAACGGCTGCGATGATTTTTTCTCTCCACCAGTACAGTAGTGGTTTCTCTAGAAACGAGGGAACCTGCAGATTGTTCACACAAACTGTGAATAGAAAGGTAAAGTTCAGAAATTGCCACGGGGCTTTGATTTGTATCATATACACTGTGCATGGGAACAATTCAAGTCACTTACGGGTAAGTTACAATTGACTACCACGAAAGAAGGTAATGAATGTGGGCTAATGGCCGGGTGGGCACTTATTAGAAGTGAACCGTATGCATCAGCATGGGTGAAGGTGAGTTGATGGAACCAGATCTAGAGACAATAGAAATGCAAACACTGCTCAATGATGAAGGCCACTAGTACATTCGGAACGGCTGCGATGATTTGCAGAGTGTATAATGAAACATCACATCAACAAACTGTGAATAGAAAGGTAAAGTGCAGAAATTGCCACAAGCCTTCGATCTATCATGTAGAACAGGCATAGGAACTTATTCAAGTCATTCACCATTACAATTGCCTAGAGAGGGAAAAGGTAATGTGTGGTTACTGGCTGAGTGAGCACTTATTACAGTGTGCATGAGCATGGGGGAAGTGAGTTGCAAGAAACAGTGAAAACAGAAACACTATAACAAAACAAACCACCGCTCACCAGATCATTAACAATATGGAGCTACTTGGTAAACGCCATAGCATCTGTTTATTATACGTAGTCATCAGTGAGAATAACACTGCTATAGCGGAATATGCAGAGTATCACAGAGTATCGACTTCAACAAAAATGCTGGTAGGTATGTACGGTCATAATGTACACACTATACCATGGAGTCCACCCTTCAAGCTGGCAACCAAGATACCACAGGTATATTTACGCATGTTAGAATACCTAGTATATACATCCTGTGTAATCCCCCTACTCAAGTTAGTAGTACCTAGTGTATATGCACTGCTGTACAAAGTAAACCTGGTATTTTAACTGACCATGAACTGTGCAGCAGTAGAATACAAATAGACATAGACTGATTATACAAGACACACAAACTAAGCCTACCAGACTCCGTTAAGGGAGTGGTCCCGCCTCTCTGGTAGCAGGGTACAGGTCAGGAGACTAAAGGGACCTAAACCGGTGTCCTGCACGATGATCTGCCGAGGAGCTCCCCTGATGACTTGTGCATGAACGTAGGCTAAAGTACACGTGCCACTAGTACATCGCGTGACCTATACGTAGGGCCTTCCGGTTCATGGGCATGGGGTGGGGGCGGGACTTCAGTGTACAGGCATTCAGAAAGCCAATGCATGTGGCCGCGGAGGAGGGCCTCTCATTCCCTGGTGCTCTTTCTTTCTTTCTTCCCCCATGCAAACACGCACACAGGGCATCATGTTTTACACCTGTGATTATCACTAAAGTAAAATACATCACCCAGGATCCTAGAGTAACAAACCCATTCCCCCTTAGAAAATTCCATACCTCTCCTGGTTTTGCAGCTGCTCTGCTTGGCTCTGGAAAATTGTTACTAGACACCCTGGTCTCCTCATTACTGTTTGCCTAAATACCCTAGTTGTCTATCTAAATCCAGTTTTGCCTCTCCCTAGGAAATTCCATACCTATGACATCATAACTCTCCTCTATAAATACCCCACTTTGCGTTAGTAGAACCATAGGATTGCAAATCTCCCAGAGAGCCTATGTGATTGTAATTACCTCAATACAGTACTGTAAGCTGTAGATTTTACACGAGAGTCTGCGACATTGGATGTGTGGGGAGAGTTGGCTAGCCACGAAAGATCTTTAACCCACCGTCCCCAGTTCTCAAGGCTGGGCATCCATGTCTTACTCTTGTGCTTGTATGTGTAGTGCATACACACACATACTGTTCCGCTCTAACGTTGGTACTTTGCTCTCGATGTTCCCTATTACGTCCATAACTTAGGCGCCCGTACAAATAAGCCAGTGGTTAATACTTGTGTGTATTCATATAATGACGTATGCTGGTGGGGTTGTGCTGGCCTGGCTGTGCGGGGGTGGGTAAACATCAATATCTGATGCATGGGGGACTGTATGTTGTGTGACGCCGACAAAAGCCTTCCAAAATCATCCCCTGTTCCACTTCTAAAATTCCCTCCCTGGCTTTTTATACCATCCATACCTAACACACACGTACCCTCGGGTGCGGGGACCAGGAAGTGACATCTGCTTCAATCTGGTCGGGCTGGATGATCCCCGGTTGACCACCCATTGTCAACGGCTTCCGTTCTGGGAGTGGGGTTGCTGTCTCGCATATAGTTTCTCATAGCATCATAGGCATTTATCCCTGGCCTGGGTTTGGCGCTGCTCCGCATGGCTCTCGGCATACACCATTTTCTACCAAAAAAGCCCCCTTTTTCCTGCCTAAAGACAAACACTAGTTAATAGAGTTTGTGCAATGCTACGTAAATTGCCTTCGTCCACGATAGAAACGTGCATATACTCCAGTACGGTCTGTTACCCCACTTCCCTCATACCATCCCAGCACAACATGCAACACTTGGCAAAGATTAAGCAGCTAAAAAAGACACTGGCATTCCAACGAGACATACAAGTCTTCAGACAAATTCCAAAAAGATACCGTCCCTCTGCAAGGCTAGAAACACCAACTGAAAGCCAATCACCACTCACAATTGAATTCCAACATGAGTTCGAGAAGCTCTTTTTCGATCACCTTTCCAAAGTTATCACCTTTAACACAATCAGCCTAGAGCTGGAACTGGCCCGGCAGAGACACAGCGGCAGGCTTTCAGACTGTACCCTGCCGACCAGACCTTCTCAAGGTGACAATAATCAGCCACATTGTAGCCAGTAACACCAGATGGTCCAGCCGCACACACTAGTGAGACTCTTGCCAAAGAAACCCCAACAACACATAAGAGAAAACCTAGACGATGCAACCGAAACACTGGATTACCAAAAAAGCGATGCAAACTCTCTGAACCTACAGCCGACACTAATAACACAACCAAGTCTACAACGACAGAGACACCACAAACGCAGCAACCCGAGCTTGTAGTCCACAATTACAGTACGTACAAGCTGTCCTCGGATGAAATTTCCTTGCTACAAAAAGGACTTAGCTTCTCCCCAACGCCAAATTGTGCACTGCCAGAACTACGATCGCAAATGCTAAAATATTTTAACGAGTTTGCCAAATCACTGAGGCTCAAGTACAATCGGGCACAGTACAGAAACAAAAAACGCCGAACTGTAATCCCACCGCCACCCACCACCACAACAACAATTTACAGACAAATGAAATTTCTCCCCCCAACGAAGCCAGATACAGTCGTAACCAGATATTCGGGCTTTGGCCAACTGGAAACCTACATCAACAATACCAAGCAGAATATGGTCAACAACCTAGAAAAAATCGCACACACGTCAAAATCTAACCTCACTGCAGCACAGAAGACAGCCATGCAGCAACTGAAGAAAGTGCGGCACGCAGTCATAATCAAACTGGCCGACAAAAACTTAGGGGTAGTCCTCATGGACACCAATGACTACGTGACACAATGCCTAGTACATTTAACAGACAACAAAACGTACAGGCTAATCGCAAAGTACCCAGCTCAGGATATTAGACGGCAGCTATTAGACACCCTCGCCAACCACAAGCAAGTGCTAAGCTCACATGACAAAAGATTTTACAAGTACCTATGCGAACCTACCAACAACACCCGCGTCCCAAGGTTCTATGGCATCCCCAAGATACACAAGGAGTTCACGAAATCTCCTCCACTGCGCCCAATAGTTTCCCCGACCTTATCGTTATTATTTCCCTCAGCGAAATTTATTGACCATGTCCTTCAACCAATAGCACGCTCGTACCCAGACTACCTCCACGACTCCTCCACCCTTTCAGTCACACTACAGGACCTGACAGTCCCCGATAATGCCATTCTAGTCACAATGGACGTTACCAGCCTATACCCGTCTATCCCACAAGAGGAATGTCTTCAAGTTATCTACAATGAACTCCACACCAACCGGCACCTTTTAGCCTTTGACCCCAATCTAGTCATCAAGCTACTACACGTTAATATGAACAACACCTATTTCACCTGGAGGCCTAACCTATCAACAGATAAGTGGCACGGCCATGGGGGCACCATTCTCACCCACCATTGCAAATATATATATGTCAGTGACATTAAGCAGGTTCTTAAATCTTAAATGCGTTAAGCCGCTTCTCATCAAACGCTACATTGATGACATATTCCTGATCTGGACGGAGTCAATAGATAACCTCCATACCTTTCTCAAAGAACTTAACTCTTTTCACTCCAGCCTGCGCTTCACTCACCAGCTATCCAGCGACTCGATCGACTTCTTAGATTTGACCATTTACAAAGGCAACATGTTTCACCTCACCAACAACCTGGACACAAAAACGTTCCACAGGAGGTTAAACCTGTACCAATATCTACACTACACCTCTAGTCACCCAGAAAAAACCTTCCGGGCAGTCATTAAAGGGGAGTGCATAAGGTATGTGAGAACCAACACAACCTACGAAACCTATGCTGCCACCCTTGTGAATTTCCAAAAAAGGCTTCTCAAACGAAACTACCCAAAGAACCTGGTCGATAAAACATTCGCCTCAGTTCAGTTCAGCAACAGATCAAGATACCTAACTCGTAGACAACTGAAACCCTGCTCCCACCCCCCTCCTCTCTACAAACTACTACCTCCTCCGCAATTTAAGGCTCTCAAAGAAATAGTTCTACAAGACTACACTGGCCTAAAATATCAACCACCAAGATTCGTTGCTCTCAGACATCCAACGCTCTACAATCAGCTGGTACGATCAGCTATCGAGCTGACAGACAACCAACTAATAGAAGCTGCCTTATCACTGGATGACGCGCCACAGCAACCCGTACAGCCAGCTGCCCTCCCACGTCTTCGTCGATCAAAAATGGGCATCACAAATTGCAGACAACCACGCTGTGTAACATGCAAAGTGCACCTCAACACCTCCACCTCTTTCAAATCAGCATATCCAGCTAATAAAACCGTTTACTACATCCGTCACTCCTTCACCTGTGAATCCACCAATATCGTATACCTTATAACCTGCACAAAATGCAAAAAACAGTACGTCGGCTGTACTACTCAATCTCTAACATATAGAATCAACCACCACAGATCCAGCATAATTGCCATCATACATCTACAAACATTTAATCTGCAGGACCATGACATAACAAACCTCAAAGTGCAACCCATCGACACTACAGAAGACGTTAATGACTTACACAACCTAGAAAAGTACTGGATTGCCTCTCTGTCAACACTTGTTCCATTTGGCCTTAATGTGTCTTACTAACTAATGTTTATGTCACTTTAACACTGGACACACGCCAAAAGGGTGGAATAGGAAGTGGTGGGGGTCGGGCCTTACCCACAGTGGTGGGGGGCCTGGCCCCCACCACTGTGGTTTTTTTGTATCACCACACACACACACACACACACACACAAGGAAACCAGTTAAGCAACTACACAGGGATCCCCCACAAGCCACTATAGTAACCTGCTCTAAAAATACACCCTATTGCGTAAACTAATTAATGACCTCCGTGAACCCAACCACGTGTAGTACCAGCGCGGGCTCCAGAGTTGGTTTTTAGCTGGCAACCAAGATACCACAGGTATATTTACGCATGTTAGTATACCTAGTATATACATCCTGTGTAATCCCCCTACTCAAGTTAGTAGTACCTAGTGTATATACACTGCTGTACAAAGTAAACCTGGTATTTTAACTGACCATGAACTGTGCAGCAGTAGAATACAAATAGACATAGACTGATTATACAAGACACACAACTAAGCCTACCAGACTCCGTTAAGGGAGTGGTCCCGCCTCTCTGGTAGCAGGGTACAGGTCAGGAGACTAAAGGGACCTAAACCGGTGTCCTGCACGATGATCTGCCGAGGAGCTCCCCTGATGACTTGTGCATGAACGTAGGCTAAACTACACGTGACACTAGAACATCGCGTGACCTATACGTAGGGCCTTCCGGTTCATGGGCATGGGGTGGGGGCGGGACTTCGGTGTACAGACATTCAGAAAGCCAATGCATGTGGCCGCGGAGGAGGACCTCTCAGTCCCTAGGCGCTCTTTCTTTCCTTTCTTTCCCCATGCAAACACGCACACAGAGCATCATGTTTTACACATGTGATTATACTAAAGTAAAATACATCACCCAGGATCTAGAGTAACAAACCCATTCCCCCTTCCCCTTAGAAAATTCCATACCTGTCCTGGTTTTGCAGCTGCTCTGCTTGGCTCTGGAAAATTGTTACTAGACACCCTGGTCTCCTCATTACTGTTTGCCTAAATACCCTAGTTGTCTATCTAAATCCAGTTTTGCCTCTCCCTAGGAAATTCCATACCTATGACATCATAACTCTCCTCTATAAATACCCCACTTTGCGTTAGTAGAACCATAGGACTGCAAATCTCCCAGAGAGCCTATGTGATTGTAATTACCTCAATACAGTACTGTAAGCTGTAGATTTTACACGAGAGTCTGTGACATTGGATGTGTGGGGAGAGTTGGCTAGCCACAAAAGATCTTTAACCCACCGTCCCCAGTTCTCAAGGCTGGGCATCCAGGTCTTACTCTTGTGCTTGTATGTGTAGTGCATACACACACATACTGTTCCGCTTTAACATTGGTACTTTGCTCTCGACGTTCCCTGTTACATCCATAACTTAGGCGCCCGTACAAATAAGCCAGTGGTTAATACTTGTGTGTATTCATGAGTAAATATAATGACGTATGCTGGTGGGGTGTGTGGGGTTGTGCTGGCCTGGCTGTGCGGGGGTGGGTAAACATCAATATCTGATGCATGGGGGACTGTATGTTGTGTGACGCCGACAAAAGCCTTCCCAAAATCATCCCCTGTTCCACTTCTCAAATTCCCTCCCTGGCTTTTGATACCATCCATACCTAACACACACACACACAATAATTATATATATACCTCAGTTGGTAGAGCACTCTCCTAGACTGCAGGCAGAATGTCGTCAGTTCGTATCCCACCTACGCTTTGGGGAAAAAAGCTGTCCTGGCCGTGTAGTTGAATTGTTTGTTGTGGCTTTGCCTTTCTACTCGTATTTTTCACATACAGTACACCTGTATGTGACTCCTACATTATAGATCTAAGGCCTGTGATAATTTCTGCACTTTACCTTTCTATTCACAGTTTGTTGATGTGATGTTTCATATACACTCTGCAGGTTCCCTAATTTCTAGAGAAACCACTACTGTACTGGTGGAGAGAAAATATCATCGCAGCCGTTCCGAATGTACTGGTGGTGTTCTATCATCTCAATGAACAGGTGAGCGTCTGTTTTTTTTATTGCTATTGTTTCTTTCTCTATCAAATCACCTTTACTGTGCTGATGCACACTGTACACTTCTAATTAGTGCTCACCCAGCCAGTATCGCACATTACCTTCTTTTGTGTTTTTTTTTCATTTTGGCGGCAGTAGGCAATTGTAACATACATACATGTATGTGACTTGTACATAGGTAGGTTCCTATGCATGCTCTACGTATAGGTTATACGATGGCGACACGTGTCTACTGGTTGTACACGAGTGGCCAGTTTTGATAGGGCACGAGGGCGTAGCCCGAGTGGTCTATCAAAACTGAAGCCACGAGTGTGCAATCAGTAGACCACAGCAGCGAATGCCATCCTATATAACGTGTTTGTATGATGCCATCGCCGGCTGTAATGCTCAGTGACCATGGATTGCTTTGCAAAATCGCTTTCAAATACACGCCTCTTTTACGCACACCATCGAGTGTACTCGTACGGAGTGCGGGAGAGAGCTAGTCGAGCAATACGATCGTAGAGATCGACAGCTGCAATGAGCGCTTGAGTTTAGTCAGCTGGCGTCGTTTTGTGCATGAAGCCATGGTCCATCTTCTCTGAGAGATCACGTTAGCGGGTATATACGATACTTTTCGCTGCTAGACTCCACACGCGTTTTGTCGCTGCCAGCTCTGGTTCGCTTTCCTTCTCTCTCCCCTCCCGCTCATACCCACTTCTCAGAATGCAGCACTGTTGCAGTAGCAAAGAAAGCTGCCAGTCCACATACTGTTCCAGTCGTACTGGAGCCTTAATACGCGTCGGACAGCAGCTTTCGCTATTCGCCTAGTTTTCAGACCACGTATCTACTAGAGCAGTTTCTCGTCTGGCCTGAAAACACATCCCTTTTTTCCCTTTTTGTTCCTTCTGTTTTGTACTCCCTTTTTTGCACATCCCTCTTTTTTCGTGCTACAACACTCCCTTTGTGCGTGTAGCTTGTCCTCCTCGTCTTCTGCGTAAACGACAGCTGCACTCAAAAGCGTGTAAACAGCCTCCCTCACTTGAAATGCATTCCACAAAAGCTGCCAATTTCCTACTACAACGTCTACTCCCGGATGCCCCTGTGGTTTATGCAATGAGTTGACATACAGCTAAAGTAGGAGGAATTGTATGGCCTCTTGATGTATGCTAAAATACCTAACTGCCCCTGAGACTGAGTCAGGAAGTGCTCACTACGCATCTGCTACGTTGTTTGGACTATCTGGATTCCTTTGATCTACTCTCATCGTCATCATACAATGATTGATAGATCGACGGCCTGCTGGCTATTTATGCTCTTTATCCTTTCTATTCCCGTGGTTTGTTGATGTGATGTTCATCTGCACTCTGCGAATCACATTGCTGTACCAGTGGTTTGTTGGTTTATATGGCTGTTCTATTGTCGCTGGTTCATCACTCTCACCTTCACATAGCTGATGCGCACTTGTTTCGGTTATGTGGCTGTAGTCTATGGTACCTTCACGCGGTAAGTGACTGAATTATTGTTCCCATAGTGTTTTTATGATACACGATCAAGACCTGTGGCCGTTTCTGACTTACTTTCTATTCACAGTTTTTTATGTTATACACTCTGCCGGTTCGCCATCTTTTCTTCTACTGTACTGGTGGCGAGACACAAATCATCGCATCCCCGTCCGATCATCAACAATGATCTGCTGAGCTATGGTTTGTTTTTGTTATAGTTTTCCTGTTTTGTCGACAGCCTCCAACTAATAACAGGTTTCCCCTGTGATGTACATGTACGTAGGTTTTAGCCGGCTCTGGTCCGCTTGCTCTGTGTATCTTGAAGGCACGAGAAGTCACAACTAAGGGTGTGTATCGACTCTTGCATGCTATCTACTACTGTAGCTACCCCGTGTCAGACTCTATGCATGCTCTACATGATATATAGATCTAAGGCCTGTGATAATTTCTGCACTTTACCTTTCTATTCACAGTTTGTTGATGTGATGTTTCATATGCACTCTGCAGGTTCCCTCATTTCTAGAGAAACCACTACTGTACAGGTGGAGAGGAAAAAATCATCGCAGCCATTCCGAATGTACTGGTAGTGTTCCATCATCATAATGATCCGGTGAGCGATGGTTTATTTTGTTATAGTTTTTCGACAGCCTCCAACTAACCATGTGCCATAACAGTTATTTGGGGGTTGCCCCTGTGATGTAGGTTTTAGCCCCTAATGATCTTGCCCTGTTCGCTCATTGGGCAAAGCACTTGTGCCTAGACTGTAGAGTGTAGTGGCTTTGAATTTCACCCAGGGCACCTCTTTTTTCGGAGTTGTCCTGGTGTTGTTTGCCTTCCTCTGCTGGTAATGTTGTTGACACATGTTCATGGCTAAATTAGCACACTCTTCTAATCTCACACCCACTGAATCCTCAACTGCAGTGTTCAAACCCAAAAACCCAAGTGGGAATGGCTGGTGTGATGTGTCCTCCCACTATAAAGGATGACAACCATCTCTGGGATGCATGGTTCCCAGCTTTGTTTACCTGTAGCTATTTGTGTGGAAGTATACCCTTCTCTTTCAACTGCAGGAGTGATGCCACCACCATGGTTTGTCACCCTCTCTGAGAACTGTTTGGGTGAGTGTGCAGGATTGACCCAGTTGTGCAATCTCTGAGACGTGTTAGGGTGAGCCTTCAATGTGTGCAGGGTTGACCCAGTTGTGCAATCTCTGAGAGTGTACTGTCAGGCATACAGGTCTTTAGTCTAGGTCTTCCTAATCTACCACCAAAATCTCATTACCTATTGTTAGTGTAGCTGGTGGGGTGAGAAATTCTGATGGCTCTGTACTTCTAATAAGTGCTCACCCAACCAGTAGCACAACATTGACTCTCACTTTACACTCACCCAATAGCCACAGATATTGCCTCAGTCATTATTGAGGTGTGGGTGCAGGCAATTGTACATATATACTGTACTTGTTATCTTCATGCAGTGCAC